CCTGGGAAGATGAGAAAGAGAAATTGTAGATAAAAGGAAGAGGAAGAACAAAGGCAAGAGTCCAGACATGAAGAAGTATGTTTAGGGAATAGCAGTAAATGCATTTGGATAGAATGTTTGGTATACAAAGAGTCTTATGGAAGATAAACTTAGGAAGAGAAGGTGGGGCAGATGGGACTTGGGTTTCCTCTCTGAAAGTTTATTTGAATCCCCACAAGCAGTGCTAATACTCTCAACTCTGCATTCTCCTAGTATTTTACTCCATACCCTGCTACAATACTTGTCACATTGTATTGCATCATATGTCTAGCTTCACCCTTAGGCAGCCTTCTATTAGAAAGAACTACATTTGGCTCATTATAAATGCTCAATAACAAGGGATGTCCCACTTTAAAAAATAGGAAAGTCTAGGAATCTGCCATGATCAGAGTAAGTCAGGCAGAATTTGAGCTGGTCCTTTAAAAACTGACTAGTTTTGGTGGTGCGCAGTGGTTCACGCCTATAATCCCAGCACTTTGGGAGGCCGAAGTGGGTGGATCACGAGGTCAGGAGATCGAGACCATCCTGGCTAACACGATGAAAACCCATCTCTACTAAAAATACAAAAAATGGTGGCATGCCCTGTAGTCCCAGCTACTCGGGAGGCTGAGGCAGGAGATTCCCTTGAACCCGGGAGGCGGAGGTTGCAGTGAGCCAAGATTGTGCCACTGCACTCCAACCTGGGCGACAGAGTGAGACTCCGTCTCAAAAAAAAAAGGGGGGGGTCATTTCAAGAATAATAACTTTTATAATTTTTAAAAGAATAATTTACCTGGAGTAAGAGTATCTGTAATTCTGTAGTAAAGTGAGGGAGGAGGGTGTATATATTAAGGAGCACTGAGAATTGAGGTTTAGAGGAAAACTAATATTTATCATTAGTTGTTATGTAGCCCAAGCAAGTGGGGACATATGCTGTATATATAAGTTTTCTAAAAAAGTATTTACTCTTCATTTCCTTCATTAGCTGGCACAGTAGAGCTCTAATCAATCAGAATAAGCAGAGAATTTTATAAATCATTTTAAAAAGAATATCTCAAATACTTTTGGGGGGAAATATATTTATTATTCTTTTCTGTTAAGTTGTATATATGTTATATCAAAATGGAATTGAGAATAGTATTATATTTGCTATTGGCATTATATTCGATTGTCATTATGAGCCTGTGGTGGGCCATGGAGTAAAACGACTTGAGAAACAGTGACCTAGAATGTTAGCACTTTGAGAGGGGACTGTGTTTGATTTAGCTTTGTAGGCAGTGGTATGGTGTTCAAGAAAGAATGCTGGGCCGGGCCCAGTGGCTCAGGCCTGTGATCCCAGCACTTTGGGAGGCCAAGGCGTGAGGATCACGAGGTCAGGAGATCGAGACCATCCTGGCTAATGCGGTGAAACCCCGTCTCTACTAAAAATACAAAAAATTAGTCAGGCGTGGTGGCGGCACCTGTAGTCCCAGCTACCAGGGAGGCTGAGGCAGGAGAATGGCATGAACCCAGGAGGCGGAGCTTGCAGTGAGCCAAGATGGCTCCACGGCACTCCAGCCTGGGCGACAGAGCGAGACTCTGTCTCAAAAAAAAAAAAAAAAAGAAGGAATATTGGTACTGCAAATCAGGACACCAGAATTTGAATCCCAATTTAAATTTAAAGCTTGTTTAAGGACCTTTAAACATGTTAATTATCCTATAGTTCTTCCTTCATTATTTACTAAATTGGGGTAAAAACAATAATGACTTCACATTATTAATATATGAGTTATACACAAAAGAACGAGGGAAAACATGTAGCTCCATGCTGGTATACAGCAGTTTTCTGCCGTCATGTACTTCATCTTGCCCAGCACAATAGTTTGTAGATAGTGGATACTTAAGCACTCATTCATACTGAATAAATCAACGTACGAACAACTGAGAACCTTTGAAAAATTCCTTTTTTTTTGTTCATGTTCAACTTAATGCTTTCAGAGAACTGACTTTGAAAATAACCTTTTTTTCTGGTAATCTCTGTGTTTGAATAAAAGAGCAATGGTGAAACTCCATCTATTTTTAGGTTTTGTAGCCTTAAAAATGAGAGAGCTAAATATGCTGGGAGATTTTATTTATTTTGTTTTATTTGGTCTCATTTTATTTCCATCTTAAGTTAATGAAATTTTGGGTAGTCCTGGTCACATGTAATACCTAGTCCTCCAAGTATTCTTTGTGCATCCCTTTTATAGCAATGTGCATTGTGACAGCTCAGCCTCCTCTTGCTGACTAATCTCCTGTACAGACAGAAGCAATTCCCATAATTCAGATAATAACCTGGAACAACTTTCATGGTTTACAAAAGTAGATTTGTAACTGATCTTCTTATAATTTAGAAAAGGAGATTAGAGTTTAATAAAATATCAAATCATACCTTAAGAATAGAATTTTGGATGTTAAAACTATTCTGAAAGTAAATACAGTTTTAAACAAGAATCTGTACTGATTTAGTTGCTTCAAAGAAAACATATTGAAAAAGAATTTAAGTTAGCATATACTTATAGATAGTTTCATAGAACGCTTAAAGCTAAACATAGTCAATTATAATTTGGATTACACTATTCTATTACCTAACAACCTATTTAAGTTGGTTAGAACAAAACTACTAGGTAAACTTCAACACAATCCATATAATAGAATCTGAATTAGAAAGGCTTGAATTTATTGTACCTACATTTATGAAGACTTTATGGAAATAGATGCACCTTTGTGATAAGACAGAACATGAAATGTTAAAATGATTGCTTTTTTATCTTTTTTTTTTTTTTTGGCTAAACCATACCATACTCTTAATTCGTAGTTCCAGTGCTTAGTGCATAGAAGGTGTTCAAGGAATAATTGCAGAATTTAGGAAGGTTTAATTTATGACCTATAATAAAGGTCAGAATAAATGGTAAAGTTAGACAAAAAAGTCAAGGAAAATCTAAGCATAATCGCTAATAATTCAAAAGCTATGTTGTGGTGTGTTCTAGGAAGGTGAATTTGTGGACTTTATTTTTTTAAGGGAACACATTTGTCAGGAAATAATGTTACATGAATTTCTATTTTCTGCTTTAAATGCTGGCATGCCTTCTTTTTAATAGTGTGTATTACAAATGCACCAAATCTAAGACGAAGTAAACAGAAAGTTGAATCAAGGTACTTCTCATTTTAAAAATTATTCTGGAGTCTTGGAGTAGAAGGAGACTCTGGAGTTGATTTTTTCCAACTTCCTTCTATTATTGATGAGGGAAGTAGAAGGGGAAAAGGACTTGTTCACTGTCAGTAGCTTAAAAAAAAGATTTTTTTAATTCTATACTTGATCAGGCACAGGAAGATACTCAATAAATAATTTCTAAGAAGAAAGAGTCACTTCAGCATAAGAGATACATATTGTAGATTTATTAATTTACAGTCAATATCAATTATAGTAATAAATTGGTAATTATTAATAATTATTAATTTTAAATTAGCATGTTGGGTCTTATGTAATTGAGGAATCAGATTAAGGTACATCTTTCATTGTGAAATTGAGATGTTGGGAACATGCAAAGCCTCACTGCAGATCCTAACGAATTTACCGCAGGGATGCTGCCCTACCAATACACTTGAGTAGAAATTTTCAAGGGGAGTTGAGGGACATGTCCTTGGTAACAAGAGGATTGGGGAGGGGCACATTTCACTTGAAATTTAACAACATTTTGTCCCGTGGTCTTATTTATTTTTGGGCACATTATTTATTTTTTAAAATAAATTCAAATAGCATTAAAGGCAGTCACGTTTTCTTTTTAAAAGTTGAGAGATTTTAAGGCATAAGTCAACTAGTTTTCTCCTCTGTGCTTTTGGAATAAACCATTCATTTTTATAATAAACATTTATTGATCACCTCTATATTCCAGGCACAGTGGTACTCCCTGAAAATATAGTCAAAAAGTTGATTCCTGTCTGTAAGGGGGAGCCAGAGTTTATTCATTGAGAATTTATAGCCCAATATTATTGCTCCAAGTTTCCGCCTGCCATCTACACTCATCCTTGCAATATTTGACACAGTAGTCATTTATTGGAGAAAATACGAAAAGATAGAAATTACAAAGAGTCTTTCACTTCACTTGCTTATTTACTCAGCAAGTATTTATTGAGTACCTACCATGTGCCAGTCACTAAGCTATGTGCTTGGGTTACATTAGTGAGTAAAACAGTCAATGATCCTGTCTTTGCGGGGATTATATTCTAGGAGGTGAGACTAATAGCCAAAAAAAAAAAAAATGCAAATACAAAGCACGTTAGAAGGTGATGTGTGATGGTTAAAAGAGAGAGAGAGAGAGAGAGAGAAAAAAAAAAGTAGAGTTGGGGAATTACGTGTGTGAGAAGAAAATTTAAAAGCAAGATGCAATTTTAAATAGTGTGGTCAAGAGAGGCCTCATTGTGACTTTTGAACAAAAGCTTGAAGGCACTTGAAATAAAAATCCAAAGATTAAGATAATCATAGAATTTGAATTTTTAAACTCATTTTAAGTCCATTTTGTTGTCTGTGTTACTTCCTGGCAAGAGGCTGCAGGTGATGGGTAAAGTCAAATATTTGATTTCTCTTTCTTTCCTCTCCCATTAGCTTTGATTTACACAAGGAGTGGTATTTCCACTATTTTCTGCTTTGCTAAAATAAATGTATTTCATGGGATTTTTACTCATCAATGAAAAGAACACGGTTTACTTTGCGAATTTCCTTATGAGAGCCTAGAGCAACGTGTAGCATAATTTCATATCATGCATTATTTCTTAGAAATATAAAAATCCATATATTGCCATTTTTAGAATGACTCTTAAAGTCGTATCAGTTTAGACAACAAGTCAACTTACTTTCCCATGGAATCACTGAGTCATAGGTTTAGATAAGAAAGCATTTACTTTCTTAATATTCTTCATTGATTTTAGCATATTTTAAAAATAGAAGTATCTGTTTTTTACAGATTCTGTTTCTGGCGTCTGCATATGCAAGTCCCCAACTCGCTGAGGAGAGCTGTTCAGCTGTGGCTGCTGTCACACATTATCTGTACCTTTGCCAGTTTAGCTGGATGCTCATTCAGGTTGGTACCTCATTCCCTCTCCCCGCCCCTTTAATCTTATGATGAATCTGAGTGGAGTGGTCTTAATGTCTGATACTCTGCACTGAAGTAGAAGTAATTCCATATGTCCATCACTGCATTCTCAGGATATAAATGCCAAATAAATACACCCTGTAAGCTGTACAATGGTAGAGAGCATTGTGAGTTTGAAGAAATTACGGAAATCCAGTAGGATTTGAAACAAGGGAGTGGTTAGAGATGAAGTCTGCAATGCGGGCCCTATAAAGCACAGTAGGAAATTAGAACATTTTTCTAGGAAAAGTAATAGAAGGTTTTTAAGGAGTGACATGATAAGATTTAGATTTTAGAAAGATCTCCCTGTTTGTAGTGAATGTGAGACAAGAAAGGGTGGATAGGCAAGCCAATTAAGTAGATTTAGCTGTATTCAAGGGGAAATCATGGTAGCGTGACCTAGGGAGGTGGCAGTAGAAGCAAAGGGAAGAGAACTGCTTTGGAGATTTTTTAAAATTAGAACTATAGGATGTAAAGACTGGTTGTGAGGAATGCAGAAGTTGGAACCCAGGATGCTCCCCAAATTTCTGGCCTGGGTATCTGGTGGATACTGGTAACTGAAATTATGATCACTGAACAATGGGGAAAAGCTGGTGAGTTTCCTTTGGGACATGCTGAATGTGAAGTGCCTATGAAACCTCCAGTGGGAACTTTGAGGAGACGGGGACACATGAAGCTAAAGCTCAGAAGGGAGGCCTACATTTTAGAAATGCACTGGGAATCACAGCGCTTTGAGAAGCCAAGGCAGGCAGATCACCTGAGGTCAGGAGTTCAAGACCAGCCTGGCCAACATGGTGAAACCCCATCTCTACTAAAATACAAAAAATTAGCTGGGTATGGTGGTGGGCGCCTGTAATCTCAGCTACTAGGGAGGCTGAGGCAGGAGAATCGTTTTAACCCAGGAGGCGGAGGTTGCAGTAAGCCAAGATGACGCCATTGGACTCCAACCTGGGCAACAAAAGCGAAATTCCGTCTAAAAAAAAAAAATGCACTGGGAAGTTATTGGCTTAGAGTTGGAAAATGGAGCCATTGGTTTGGAAGAGATTACTTGGGGAGAAGGTACAGAGTGAGACCAGCAGAGTCCTAGCATACTCACCTGAGGAACTAGTGTGTGTTGGCAGAGAAATTTCAATTCTTTTCTAACTAAAATCCCAAATTATCTCCATTATTCTTTGTTGATTTGGTTGATAAATGGCTGATGTGGTTGATAAAGAGGAGGACAGTGCATAGTATTAACGTCACTAATTAAATGGCTCAACTAAAATGCATTTGATAATGCATTCTGTGTAATGGTATTGTTAAGTTTTTCATGTGATACAGTTTCATATGCATTTCTGAGTATGCATGTAAACTATTTTATGAAAACAGATGCATTTAGTCCCTTGCATATTCTTTTTTCTTGTTGAAGAAGAAGGTTGTAGGACTTGATTATGTAGCAACAGTGAAATAATGGTAAAAGGAGAAAGAAAGTGAGGTGGTGATATTATGAGAGAATACCACACAGGCTCAAGGAAGGGTTGTTTTCCCCAGTATGATATGATAGTAGTGGGGGCTGAAGAAGAGGACTGAACTATTTAGCTAATAGAACTAGTTGAAACAAGTGGCACCCTGGATCTGGGTTTGAATTCTGGCTCGGCTACTATCTGTGTAAGCTTAATTAAACTATTGACTCTCTCCAAGTTTTGTTTCTAAATCTGCATATAGAGATAATAATTCCAAACTCATAGAATAATTATTAATATTTTATAGCTCTTTCAGCGGTTTTAATCATGGACAATTTATGGTGTTTTCAAGCTCCCCTCTCAAAAAAATTTACAAATAAAAGTGAATTTAAAGCATATAACATAAAACTTACATATCTGCTGAAATTAGAATAACATTTGCAAGATTTTCTGATTGCAAAATTCTTTAAGAGTTTATCTGAGTTAAACTTTTTAAAATGTGCCCTATTTATGTTGTTATCTATCTGCCTGGATTGAGGTCCCCAGTGCTGTGCTAAAGGTCTTTGTCCATGCCCCTGACCTATTCAGAATTTTTGATTCATTACTTGGATGAAAACACAGGAAATTGCTTATCAGATATGCATGTGGTACAGAACTGAAAGGACAGCTGCAACAGAGAGCTGCCTGCATTAAGATTACAGGTAGAGCTAATGAAGAGAAACTGTACTGTGATAAATTAAAAACTAGAATGAAAGAGACATCATCTGATGGAAGTTAATGTAAATTACTCAAAATTATAATTTAACATAAACTTGGCAGCAATTAAATATGTGACCAGAATGCTTAACAATAACAACTACAGTAACTGCAAAAACAACACACACCTAGGTTGCATTGATAGCAGTATGGAAGCAGACATGGTTACACTGTAATCTACAAAATTCAGACTATTTTGGGACACAGCAACCACTCTCATGGGTCATGTTTCAGCAGGAACATTAATTATCCAATGAGAAGTTGGAAAACAATCCTCTAAGAAACTTTGAGGCAGCTGGGCATAACTAACCTGGAAAGAATTTAGGGAGATGTGATGGCTGTCTACAAATACCGGAAGGGCTACTACAGGAAAGGGTGGACTATGTAGCTCCATTTGGCAGAACCAGAGCAAATGGGTCAAAAATTAGGGAAGGAAATTTTTGATTCAGGTTAAGAGTTTTCATAGCCAATAAAACTGTCAAAGTTGAAGAGGCTTTTCTAAAAGTAGAGTGAATTCAATCACTGAAATATATTGAGAGGGAAATGACCAACTTTCAAACATGTTTTAGATGGATTTTCTGCTTTCAGGGAGCATTAGACAAAATCATATATAAGATTTCACCCAAGTTAATGAAGATTGGTATATTCTACATCTCTTCTTCAAGTTAGGTAAATATGACTGTGGCTGATTCACATTTAGTAGACCAATTAGATTTCTGGATGGCTAATGGCTTAGGAAAGCTATTTAAAGTACCAGTGAAGTTTAATGTATTTCAGATGGTACACCACACATTTTTCATGGTTTGTGGTGTGACCACAAGGGGAAAAGTCAATAAGTTCTGAATTCTAGTTAGGTTACTTTTAATGAATTATTTTATGTTCAGAGGTTGTCACTTCACCAACCAACATTTTCCCATTCATAAAAATAGTGACTGCTAAATTTTTTTTTTCTAAAATCTGTTTTAAAAACATTATGTAGAAGGTTAGACTATTATTAGCTCAATCCCATTGGTTGAATTAGGTTGAATAAAATTGAGAGAATTTTTACTTCAATGATTCTACTTCATTTTTTTTAGTAATATAGGAGTGAATATGATACTACTTATGTCTGTGCATAGCTTATGACAATAAATTAATCATAAATTTGTAATTACTGAGTTAAGCATGTCAGAACTGTTAATGTTTATTTTTATCTGCATTATATCTTCAGTCTTAGAATACATTTTTATGACTTTATCTTGAAAATTATTTTACTTTTATATCCTATACTTTTAGTGCCTTATAATAAATTTAGATTAATTTTAGAGTAGCTTAGGGAAAATTTTATTGGTAAACAAGTTACATAAGCTCTCTAAGCCTAGATTTTCTTATTTGAAAACTCAAGTTGTAATAATACTACCTCTCTTGGCAGACTGTGAAAAGATAAAATGAATTAATACATAGAATGAGCTTGAAGTGGTGTCTGGGACAGACTGCATCCTCTGTACATATTTACCCATATTATTTGTTAAGATAATATGTTGTGGCTAAAATTTCATAGATTTGAAAACATCTTGACTGCTCTGCTTTTCCAATATAAATTATACCTTCTTTTTAACCAAAGAAAATGAACTTCATGTAGTGGAAAGAGGTCTGACTTTGAGTGAGGTGGACACTAACTAGCTATAAAGCCCTAGCAAGCTGGAGAACCTTTAACCCTTTGTTAAAGTATATGCATTGCTCATAACAGGCTCCATAAATAACAGCCTTGCCTCTGTTTCTTCAGGCTTCCCTTTTCTTTGACAGAAAAGTCACACAGTGCAAGGCGAGGATGTAGTAACAAATTATTTTGCTTATTTTTTAAAAGGAAACAAATCATAAATTCCTTTCTTGGCCACACATATTGAATTATCCTTCTGTTTGCTCTTCATGTAAGAGCACTCCCTTGGAACTATTGAAATCATTTCTCCCTTAAGAAGGTAGGGTTATATCTCCTTTAAGAAAAATTGACAATGAGAATTTAAAATCTTGCAGTATCTTTACTCTGTTTTGCGAGTTCTATTTTTCCTTCTTCTGTTCTGATTTGGTTTCATTTTAGACATAGCAGATACAAAACATAATTGAATACTAAATAAAAAGTACATCTTTTTCTCACTATTTCTTGCATTCTCCGTTCTCTGCTCTACCTTCAATACCAATTCCTGAAGGTAAACACTACTGTTTTCCTGTGTATCTCTCCATAAATATTCCATGCATAGACAAATATTTATGAATATTTAAATAAGCACATGTGTGTTCTTGTATGTATGTGTGTGTGTATATATATATATACAGTGTACATATATTTATATATAGTGTATATATGTGTTACATGTATGTGTATATGCATGTGTGTGTGTATATATATATGGACATCTTTAAGTTTACCATGCATGGGTATATCTTTTTCCTATGCTTTAATATGGTTATTACATAATTTATTTTTCTGGGCTCCAGTTGATGACATTACATAATTTTTTGGTTATCGTGTTACTTTTTGCTATAGTAAACAATGTGTCCTTGGATATCCTCACACTCTGAGTATTTGTTTACTTGGGCCGTATCCATAGAATAAATTCCTAGGAATTATGCTTTTACTATTCATGTCTACATGAAACATGCTCTCAGTTGGATTTCCAGATCATGAGGTAAATAAATTGCAAATAAATTATTTGAGATATTCGTATATGATATAGATAAATAGACAATTTTTGCCTGTATATTCATTTGGCT